TCTTGCTTTTGGTTGGTGAGTCCACCCGAACTCTGTAACCAGCTTTTTCAGACTCAGCTCATCCGAACTCTGTAATCTGAACTCTTAAGTCTTCTTTTTCAGACTTAGAAGTCTGAACTCTGAAGTCTTTTTTTAGACATAGAAAAAGAAGTCTGAAGTCTTCTTTTTCGGATTTAGAAGTCAGAACTCTGAAGTCTTCTACAATTCTGAAAAGTCGTTCTTCAGAGTTAGCTCACCCGAATTCTAAAGTCTTCTTTTTCAGACTTAGAATTATGAACTCTGATTTAGTGAGATTGATTTTATATTTTAAAGTTATTTCCAGAGTACAAGTCTGAAGAGTCATTATTCAGAGTTAGCTCATCCGAACTCTGAAGTCTTATTTTCTAGACAGAGCACCATGCAGAGCCTCTGCATAGTGCATACAAAGCCTCTGCATAGTGCATGTAGAGCTTATGGCTTGTCTATACAGAGATCTGAAGTGTGAAGAGTTTTACTTTAAAGTTATTTCAAGAGTACAAGTCTGAATACTTCAGAGTTATTTTAAAAGTATAAGTTATTCTAAATTTACTTCTAAGTTTAAATTCAATTTATTGATATAATTTTATTTCTAAAGTTAATTTTATTCTATTGCTCACTTCATTTTAACTAACTATTGATATGGTTTCATTTCTAAATTGAAATCCGAATAGTCATTTTGCAGAGTTATTTAGCAAAGTTATACTTCAGAGTTATTTCAAAAGTACAAGTCTGAAGTAGCATCATACTTTCAATAATCATTCGTATCCGTAAGATAACTTCCTGACATGATTTAAATTTTTTAAATTACTCCGTATAATACATGGAATCGAACCGTGTGTGTATATATATATATATATATATATATATATTTGACAAATCTTTTTGAATATGGGGGTAGATAGATGGAGATTTTACGGTGACGTTGACAATGGTGAAGTCGGTCATATGCAGTCGATCCATATTGGTTACATAATCACTCGATTCGATGGGTTTGCATGCATGTGATATTATACGTTTAGAAAAATATATATAAAATGCTTTTATTAGAAACTAATTCTTAATTTTTGGAATACACCCAAAACTAAATTAAGCAAGCATAAATACAATTAATAGAGGTGATATGTGTCAGAGTTAACAGGTACCTTAAGTTACATGAAAGCAAAACCTAATGCCATATGTGCTATGGCGACTTGTACATTTTACATATCTTCAGGTGAAAGCTATAATCCTTCACAAACATCCAAGAGCCTATAAATAGCTATAAGACCCACCCTTTTCCATAACATATTAAGACATGAAAATGACAAGCAACAAGAGCTTAATTTGCATCTTTTTGGCTACATTTGCCCTTTTGGCTGCAATTTCTCAAGTGAAGGGCTATTCGAGCTCTTACTGTGGCCCTTGGTCCCGTTGCGAGGGCCAAACCCTCTATTGCCCATCCGAATGCCCCTCCAGCGAATCTAATGAACCTAAGGCTAAGGTTTGCCTTATCGACTGCTATTCCCCTAAATGCAAGGCCGAATGCAAACGTACGTC